CAGGAGAGGTGGTAGGGGCCCACACACACCAAAAAAAAAATAAAATAAAATCAGTGATGCAGTTCTGCTTCTGGGAAGGGCCACAGGCTGCTGGCATAAGGTTGTGGGTACTACCAGGCAGCACTACTAAAGATGTTCTGTTTCATTACCAGACATGTACTTGTCACTCCCACCACATTCCACATCAGAACATTTAACAGACATGTGAGGAGAAGACTGCAATACACCTTAGTCCTCCTTTTAAATGTTCAGTGCTGTTACAGTGAATATGAGCAGTGCTGAGCCAAAGGAAGAGTTTTCATTCTGCCCTATTCTGTACTCCAAAAAAGCATTTTCCATCCCACCCCCAGTATGCCAAAGACCCTGATGCCATACAGTACAGCTTGGATGCACAGCAACATGAATGTCTTCCAGCTGGCAGCAGTTGCTACCTCACATCTTTCCAGTCTTCTAGCCACAGCATCAGAAACCTTAGGACAGATTAACTGTGCTGATCCTTATGCACGATTGGCAGTTGGAGTTGAATTCCACATTGCACTCAGCTTGTTCCTAAGCTGCCTACTTGGAAAAGAGTTTAGGGGGCATTTTCATAAGAGCCTTAATTCAATATAAGATCTGCACAGTCTCTAAAAGAGGCAGTCTCACTGTCCTTATCCTTTGTTTATGACCACAGATTCTATCTTCTCCCACATGAGCAGCGTAACAGCTCTCACAGACCCATATGGTGGGTTACAAGCACATATTTGCCTTTCATGGGATCCACACTGTGCAAGTGCCAAGGTTGTGGACATACATTTTCAGACATGCCAAATTTAAATGCAGCTGCACTCCACAAGCTGTGGCACTGACTGGATTATCAGAAATGCTCAGCACTAAACAGCTCCCATGAATTCAGGTACAGGAATGAAGTCTTCAGATTTAGGAGGAAGGCATGACACTTCAAAAAAATGGCTGTTACTGTAATGAAAGCTTTTACTTCCCACCATCCCCTCTAATAACTGAATTAAATCAGAGACAGCAATGATATTTAGTCTCTTAAACATAAGGCAAGTTAAATGCTAAACATTCTAAAGTGCTTCATTACTGAAGATTAAATATATACAGTTCCAGAAAGATTAAAAAAATGTTACTGTTTACATTTTTGGTTGAGAAATGTTCTAAAACAAGGGAAACAGTTATACTTAATAAAACTCAATCTTTTTCCCCTACCATTCTGTCTCCTAATTCTTCCTGGCTGATAATAAAAATACCATTTTTTGAAAACAGCTTCAATGAAACACAAATGTTTATAACAAGACATTAGACACTTTTCTTTATTACTTTCTCATTATACTTATAATTAAAAAATAATTATTTCTAGCCTGTTTCCTGCCAGATGCAGTTCTAGCACCTCTAATAGGACATATCTTAAAATAACTGCTTGGTAGCAAGAAACAACATTTTTCATCCATACTCATGTTTTCCTTTCTCTTTCTTTTCTCTCTCTTCAAATAACTTCACTGATTTTGGTTCTTTCGTAAACTCTGGCCTGCTTCTACTTTTTTTCTCCACTTTTTGTCATAGATATAATTAAAAAAATCACCTTTGTGGAGGAAAAATGACCAGAGGGGGTACCAGAGGTTTGAAAAAGCCTGAGACAGCCTTTGTTTTAATGCCAGTGGAGGTAGGATGAGAATCCTCAGACTGTGGTTTCACACCAGCTTTAATCCAGCTCAAAGCATCAATCCAGCCTTCTCACCCCCTCCTTTGTATCAGCACTAAGACAGGGAGCCAGATCATACACATTCCACTGCTATTAACCAGCCAAAAGTCAACAAGACTAACTTGGGTTTTAGCTAGACAAGTTATTTCAGCCTGCTCACCACAAGCACTGAAATACTTCTCCCCACACAAAGCAAGACAATAAGGAAAAAGATGAGAGCAGTACATTCAGCAGTAATATAGTTTTACAGTGGAGTCTTAAAAAAGAGTCACAAAAAAACATGGATTCTGCTTAGTCTCTCTAGTGCAGACTGCTTCAGAGCACAGCAGGACATAATCTGGCTCCAACCCAGAAGCCTCTTAGAATAAAACATGCCCTGAGTCCTCCCAATATACTTCATCAGCCTTTCAAATACAGCTTAAGTACTCAAGGCCAGGATTTTTCACAAGTGGATTAATTTCCACCATGAAAGCACCGCTGGTATTGATTTGCAAAGGCATGTACCTATGAAACAAATATTTTTGTGTAACTGCTTGAGAACTCTGGTTATCTGAAATGCCTCAAACCTCCACCACTGCTCTGGTGATAGAGAATGTTGCCAGAAATAAATAAAAAATGAAATACATATACATACAGAATCGTGTATTTATGACAAGTATCTTCTTATTCATTTGACAACCTAGTACACTCTAACAGAGAAGGAGATTTTAAAACTTGCAAATATAAAGCATACTGTGAAGTTACTGTTAGTAAAAAGGTTAACTATCTCGTATTTTGAAATAACTTTAAAGAAACGTGTTCTTTACTTCTGAGTCTTCTGTCCTCATAGCAGTTTTACTCACCATGGAGACGAGCCACCAACACAGGATGATGAGGCAAGACAAAGCAGTAATCAACTAAATTTTGCAATGCATCAAGCTCAGAAGTCCAGCTGAGTGCTTCATACTGTCACCTGCTTCTTCTACCAACACCCAGTTAACATTCTTCCAAGGATGAAAATGCATTCACAAATAATGATTATTTCCTTAAGTGTATCTTCATGCCATTAGATCATCCAAAGATCACTATGTCAATTAACAGGAACTTGGATACAGTATTCACAAAAAACACTAAGCAAATGTTGAAGGAGATCAACAACAGAAAGACCACCAGCATGAAATAACCCAGATCTCTGTGCTAGTTGAAGATTAATTCAATAGTACTATACTTTTCCTACAGATACTTTTCTTGAAAATAGATGTATGAACAAAACAAAAAAAAAAAACACCTACCTGACATAGTGTTTTCCATCCAGAAGGGTACTCTTTCAAAACAAGACTATTAGTAAGTGCATTTGAGTTTGCCTCCTTACAATTTAGGGAATTATTTCTATGGATATATGTATATATGTATCAAGGCTGCTGCAACAGCATTAGTATTTTTAATGCCAAAACTATGCTATTATTTAAGAAGAGCATTCAATAATTGATGGGAGTTTGGATGGTTTTCTAAAAAAGGGAATCTCCAAGGCTTTTTATTTTTGCTGCTGTTATTTTTATTTTGAAGAAGCCATCATGTTCTCGGTTCCTCTCCATGAAAATGAAAATAGAATTACAACCAAAAAATGTAGCAAACTGCAATGGCTTGCTTTAAAATCCTTTATAGTGGAATAATACAAAAAGCATAAGAAAATGTAAGAGATACTTGTAGATGCAATAAGTTAGAGACTAGAATACAATGCTATTCAGTTCTGAAATAAAAACCTACTGCATTATTTAATTCATGTGAAAACAAAGTATGTTTACAAATTCTATCAATTTTACATTAACTGCATTTTTCATTCCCTCAAGAAAACAATACATAATATTAGCAAAGAGAGGTCTCTACAGAGTGTTCTATACTTCCCACTACTCTCACTTCCTTGGATGTTGCAAAAACCTACTTTTGAAGTCTGATTTACTCAGAACATGGTGAAACTATTAACCACACTAGCATTCTCCAAAGTAGCTATATCTTGATTCTACAAATGAAAACTGCACAAATTAATGCATATCAGACTCTTTCAAAATGGCACATTTTTCCTTTTTAAACTTCCTGTTTAAAGTGGATTGAAGTAAATGAAAAACACATATTGGTGTCAGTGAATACCAGTATAGGTCCTTACAACAATATAAACATACTTTGGAATCCCTCAGTGAAAGAAATATAAGCTCTTGGAAAAAAAAATAGGAAAAAAAAAGATGCTATTGTCATTTAACTTTAAATTAATTTCAATTTTTTCCTGAATTTTTTTTCCTAGTTTTCTGGGGTTTGTGATTGGTGGTTAATACTGACCTCCATAATTTTTTACCCTGTGGCTTTTCACTGAGTATGCAATTTTGTTTATAGAGTTTTTTTCCTCCAAATATAAATGGAGAAGCTGTATTGCTTTACTCCTGCCAGACTACAAAGGGAAGCGCCTCCTATTCTCCCCACTTAGCACTGAACTGCCATAAACTTACTGCCACATAGCTCTGCAGTTCTGTAAGATTTCTACAATTTTGATTATCCTTGGTTTTATTAATATCATCAGTAGCTATTATATTACACCTGGGCTTCTCAACACAGCTGCCATTTTCCTAACCTGTTATTCAATATTAGGATTAAATAAAACCAAGGGTAAATTTTTTTCAGCTGTCTCTATTGCAATTCATAACAGTTCCAGTCACAAAACCCCTTTCTATTTCAGTGTGGTCAAGCCCTATTGGCAGGTTTCAGGAAGACAAGAAAAAACTCACCAAAATTTCTTTCCTCCTTAATCTTTTGGGTCAAGCAAAAGTTCTGGAGTCCAGTGTGCAAAGTCCATGATCTACTCTGCTTTCCAAACAGACCTCTTGGAAATTTTTGGTATTTAGAGGGACAGTGTGCTATAGTACGCTGAGAAAGATTCTCCTAGGAAATCTCCCGTAGTATTCACGGGAAGATGTCCCAGGTGGCCAACGCGTGCCTCTTACAAAGCAGTGTGGTCATTTCTTCCATTCGGGCCTTCCCTCCACTTCCAATAGCACGAGGAATATGGGAGCACTAGGCTTTGGATAAACTGGATAAATACACTGCATCCCCTGACATTGTCACATGGCACACAGACAATATACCACAGCTTAAGGTACACTGTGGCCAAATGACGTATAGGAGGTACACAAGACAGTGGAAGAAGATGGAATTCTGTGCATATCAAAAAGCTGAGTTCATTCAATTTTCTGTAGAAATACTGGTTAAATCCTATTAAATACAGTTACTTGGCTTTTCTTGTTTTTTTGCAAGGTCCATCCTGAATGATGACAGGCCAAAGGCTATACTTGAACACCCCATAATCAATAAACTTTTAGTCCCTGTAAACAGAAAAGCTCTATTCACATTCCTTATTATTAACTTCTTTCATTCAATTATTATATGGTCTACTCGTCTGATCACAGGGTAATGTAAAGTGGATGATTAAACTGTTTACAAAGTTTACAGTTTACTTTTTCCCCCTCTTAAAAGACACATGGGAGAAGAAATGCATCACCAACATCTGTTTGGTGGAGATGAGTCCACTTTGTAGGAGGAAAAACAGACTCCAGTACTGCTGGTGAGCTCTAAGAGCTCAGGTCACCATAGACGGAGGGGTCTAGGTTTACCACTTTGCTCAGCTTCGTTATTGTCACAACTGCAGTGAAACCTGTTAATAGAGGGCTCACAGTTGACTACAAAACACACTTCAGTTTCTATGAAGGCAACCTTCATGAACCACGTTTTTAACTGTTTTTCTCAAACGACTGCATTAGTGGTCAGGGCTGCACTACTGCAATCTGTGAGAGTTTTGCTGCTGGTAACAATGTCTCCGAGGAAACTGCAGTCAGTGGAAATGCATCCCCACTCCCTGGTAAGGGTTTTGGCTTTCTATCCAGTTTTCTTTCCTGTTGACAGATATAACTTACCCCAAGTGTCTGGTTAGTTTTAAATCACTATGGTACTCTCAAAAAAAAGATTGTTCAACAAAGCCAATAGGAAAAAAAATAACAACAACAAAAAATAGTTCCTGTAGAGTTCATCTCACTCAAACTCAGCTATAATAAGCCATTTGGTCACTGAAATGACACCTGCAATGTTTTCCCTTAGGATTTTAGTTAGCAGTTTTGAACATTTGGGCCACTATATTTAGCATATTCCCACTTTTTTTTTTTTTTTGTGCTTCTGAGTTACAGCATCAGTGAGTATACTACAGGCTCTATACTGTTTCTGATCACTCTACAAGAAGATTAAATATACGGAAGAACCACTGTTAACAATAAATTTCTATTTACATTGTCCACGTGTACTTTGGAAACGTAATTATGGTAATTTCTTTATATGCTGCAACATAAAGATGTTGTACAGTTGAAGAGATGAGTCCTATACTCACGATGATTTTTTTTAATGTGTCTCATTTTCGATGTAGGCATGGAAGTGTTGTAGGGTACTTCAAAAACACACTGTCAGATTTAAAATAGGTAATTTTTTTTTTGCGGTATCCTTAAAAATTTCTTCCAAAATAGAAGCATAGAAATAAATATTTGTAATCTATTAATTTTTGCAATCCTTTTTTCTCCTTATAAGTCTTTAAAATGAAACTACAAGTGAATTCAAGTAACACATTTAGATCAATCTTAGCCTCAACCAGTGCTGATCCCACTGAACAATGCACTAGAAAAAGCTGATTATAAATCAGTATATCAGGATGGGTGGAAGGAAGAAAGAGCTGTTTCTAATGAATTGTTTAAAGCTCTGCCTGAGAAAAAACATTCTTGGTTTTCATCACAGAGGAAAGCCAAGAGTAACTTCGGTAACTTCTGCTGCACACACTGGGTTCTCCACACAGAAAGTCATCGTTCTTCATGCTAGAAATATTTTATCATTTGTGTAATTATAATCAATAATTGCCAGAGGATTAGCTTTGTTTCTTCTGATTTAACAAAATAAATAATCAATCTCTTGCATATTATCATCTATTCTTACAATCTGTAACAATGTGACCTTATCAGAGAGGAAGCATCTGCAGCAACTAGCAATACATCCAAAGATACAAATTACTGCAGTTAGACATCTTGCATGGGTGCTTCATTTCCAATTCTGTGGTATGTTGCATGTAATGATTTTCAAGGAGTGCTGTTATCTCAGACATCTTCTAGATGTAAAAGACAAAAAAAGAAAGGACTATATCTGGCCTTTTGAGAGCATCCCTTCAGTAAAAAAAGACTAAGGCAATTGTTTATATCATCACTACATTAAAGTCATGTAAGACACTCCCACATCCTCTGCATTCTATCATCTACAGTCCAATGTTATGCATGAAAGAGCAGCCTTGCCACCTCCCAGGTCCCACAAGTTAAAGGTCAGATTCTCAGTCATGAGATGGCTAAAAGGCTTGGAGAGCCAGAATCACAGTCATAGTTTAATAGACAGACAGGGGCACAGCCATAGTTTCAGCACTATGGGTTCTTTTTATTCTGACTCTTCTCCCAGCATAGTCTTAGGGCAGTCTCAGAATGCTCTCAATTAGCCCACCTGCTTGTGGTCTCCACCAGTCCTTTGATCACTGTCTGGGCACAGAACCACTCAACACTCACCTGATCTGCCCTGCAGCATATGATTTTGACCACAGGCTACCAATCTTTCTATCCCAATCAACCGAAGCTAAGGTTTAGTCCAGACCCTTTAAAGACACAGCCAGATCACAACTGAGAATTTGGCCTCTGATTTTCACCTGTCATCTGCACAGAAACACTAACCATTTGCCTAGCCAGATGGATCTGTACAAACATATTTATATGTATGAACAGTGTATCTTCCACCCGTTCCAGTGAAAACAACATTTATGATCAAGACTTCTATCAGATTTAACTATTTGATTTTTTAATAAAGTCACCAGCTTGCATATTGCATATTGAGATGCTAAGAAAAGTGCTGATCAATGCCATCGTTTAAAATAAACAAATGGATCATAAATTTTCCCTGGGCTCTACCTAGAAACTTTATTTTCTTATTTATGTCACAGCAGTCCTTCACAAAAAGAGTGTCTTTCATTCACACAGTGACATGCCATAGCTGCACTCATCAAAGCACAGGACTTTTTTTTTTTTTTGTTTCATTTTGAACACTTTTAAAACTATGTTGAAAATTTAACTTGACACAAACATTACATAAAGTAGGGGCGGAACATGTGTTCAAAGGCAATCAAGAATGTAACTCAAAAATCTGGGGCGGGTGGGGAAAGAAGGAAAGAAAAAAACCAAACCCCAAAACATCCAAGGAAAAAACAAAGAATTCAAATAAAAAGTTGAACATTGCGGATCTGGTCCTCATCTACTACAATGGATGTAATTTAGGAATAAATCCACTCAGGCTGGTCAGCAAGGTCAAAGAAGAATCAAACAGTTAAGATCACCTTACCAAACTAGAAAATCCAATTTTGAGAATTACATCAGATTTCAGATTTTACAAGGTTCAATTATTATTTTGGAGTGAGTTACAATGCAAAATAACGCTTAGTAAAAATATACGGAGCTCTACAACTCCTTTGCATAACTTTCCCAGAGTTGCACTTTCCCAGGCTGGACTCTCTTTTCTTTTTCCACTTCTCATTTTCTTCCCCTTGTTCTGCCAATTTTAATCTAGCAGGGACAGTCCTTTTCTAGCAAGCACTGTCAAAATATTCAGGACATGGACCTCGCACTCAGAGAATGCAATGCTGTGTTCAGACAGCAGTGCTGGGTGCCTCAGGGATTTGTAATAGCCAACGTGCATATACCTAGCAGTCAGATGTGTTCCACTGCACAGCTGTGCACCTCTGCCTTTGACTTTTTCAGTGCACGTTCCTCCCAAAGACAAGTTCTGTACATCCAGAGTAGTTTGTCTGAAGGAGTGATGGTCATTGCTAGCTGAAGGGAGGAAGACCCATTACTGTTACCCATTACTCTGGTAAGAGTTAACTAATTATCCCCAACAGTTCCAGCCTTTACAATGGGAAAGTAGCACACAGCTTTTATAAATAAGAATTACTGACCTTTTTAAATAGTTTCAAAAGAAGAAACTATGCATCAAATGTGAGTATAATTTAGGAACTACTACATAGCAGCAAAACTACATTAGACTTTCTGATTTTTCCATGGTATCCTTGGATAGATACACCACCCAGTAGACCATGTTAAATGCTCCAAAGGTAACAGGAAATAAAATGCGTGCATATTTGTCTATCTTACTCGTGCCAGAGTGAGAGGCGGGGGGAGCAGGTGGTGTGACAGCAGATGGCTTTGCAGATGCTCCTAATGTATTAGGTGTTGTGGTCTGAATCTGCTCCAGTCTAGATCCAAGCAAGTGCTGAATGGAAGGGGAACCAGCTGTGGCATGCTGGGATACAAATCCAGTTAAAATTGGGGTAGAAGGAGGAGCCGGAGGGGTAGCTCTTGCAGAAGATAATGTCTCTGATGCATTGATGCGTGTGAAGGGGTTGGGACTTGATGCAGAAAAGGAGCGGGGTGTAATGTCAGAAGACCCCTGAGCTACAGAGGGAGGCTGGATGGAGCTGTGCCTTGTGTCAATTCGGCTCCCACCGTCAGCTTCGGACTGTACTGTGGCATTCGTTCTTTTCCTCACATTTGAATTGGCATCTGTACTCTGCAAAGTTTAAAAAAAATACTAGAGTCATTCTTAAAATAAGCACTCAAACAAAAGCAATGGAAACTATAATCAAGAACTGTCAGAGTAATACTCATATATATAACCAGTAGCTTGATCCTAAAGCACACAGGTCATCATGAAAACAGATTTAATAGCATATAAAGTGATAAACAAGAGTTCCTTTACCTGTGGCTGGAATATCAGAGAAGACACCTAATGCATCACACTCCATGTGATGTAGTACCTATTAATACCATAAGGCTAAGCATTCTTGGGTTAGAGTCATAGCTTTTTACAGGCTCATGCTCAAAACAAGATTCTCTGATGTCTACCTATTTCTCTGATGATATAAAAATATTCTAGGTGCAACTTACCAGCCATGATGGTTTCTGCTTTGTATCTCCAGAAATATAACTACCATATACTAGGAATTCTAGTCTGTCATCTGGACCTGAGGCTATTAAAATGCAAGTATTTACCAAACCCAGTTACCACATTACTGCTCTTTCAGAAATATAGCCAATGCTTTTTCACATCAACCATCGGCAATAAATCCCCCAGGCACAACTGAACCAGGGTATAAATTTGTCTTTCATCAGCTAATCGTCTCCATTAATTAACTAAGAGAAGTGGTGAATTCTCCATCACTATGTCTTCAGGGAAGTCTGGATGTCTTTCTGAAAGATATACTTCAACCAAATAATACTTATTAGGCTGGATGAGAAATTGAAATACAGATAAGGAAGTATAGATGGGAAATCCATCAGTTTAATATTTTACTGACTTTTGGGAATGCGACTTGGCCTCTGCCTTTCTTCTCTGCATTTAAGAAGAATACTAATATCTCCTGAACTTCCTTCTGGAAGGGTACCTGAAGAACAGAATTTTGAACCTTCAGCCCTGCACCTAAAATATAATACAAAACATCTTATACTTCAGATATAATATGTGAATACTTTTTATTCAGAGACTAACTGCTTTCCAAAAGACACAACTTAAGGGCAGATACGGTACACATACTCAGCATTGTTAATACAGGTCTAAATACAGACAAGGCAAAACAATCACTTGTTATATATATAAAAATCCCATGTTTTGCACTTCTCTGATGATACCATTCCCAAACACTGCCCTGCACCATACCTACTGTGCTTTTGGCTTCCCTTCCCTTCAACCTTCCCAGAGAACCCTGCCAAAGCTCACAGCATAAATCAAAGGAAGAGAAAGCAGGCAGCAATCTCTCTTCCCTCCTTCATCCAACAGCAATTCTCCCCAGAAAAGTGACAGAGCGGTAACAGAAAACAACTCAGGTGTTATTCAAGGTGCTAGCAGTACCTTGAGTAGTGAGACGAGCAACAACTGTGTCTGTCTGCTACATCAGTTGTGCTTTGCTGTTCTGCTCAAGGAAACAGAGAAATGGGAGCTGAAAAGAAATCTGAAAATATAATAATAATAATTAAAAAAAATTCACCTGATATCTCTAGTACTCCCATCATGAATGCTGCTCCCTAATCCTGTTAATTGCAGTACAAATCTATTACTGGCAATACTGTTGGCCTGAATTTATCTGAAACTGTCATAGCTATATGCCTATTCACGGCTGATGTACTTGCCAGTTCACAGCTGATGTATTTGCCAGCTCATGGTTGATATATAAAAGAATCCCTCAAGTTTCAGTTTTCCTTCCTGCATACAAGTGTGTCCCTTTTATTTACTCTTCTGCATCTGCAATCCAAAGAAGCTGAGAAGTGGAATAAACACCAGAAGAAACTGGTATTTCCTGAAAGAAACACTGATTTTACTCTTTGATAGAGAAGCTCGTGTCACTCTTTGGGAAGTACAGAAGTACACACAGGTGTGCAATTTCGATACTTTCATACTAGGGTTGTCAGTGACCCAGCTTTCAAGATTGCTAAACTGAAATGATAAAGCACAATCAGGACAGTAGTACATTTACTAGAGACTTGGTAATACCTGATGGACTACTGCATGTCACTTGAAGGCTTGCAAAGCTGAGCAGATGCAAGTCATCAGTGTTCACTGCCCGAAACAACAGCTCTATGCTGTGGAGAAGCTGGCAGTAGAGTCAATGATAGGAGGTGAGTTTTGTCTTCTCTGTGCAGATTCCTGGACAACCTAGCTTTGCTCAAGTATGATTCACCCATCATAAAGCTCTCAAGCAGCACCTGGGGAGCAAAAGGCTGGGATAGGGGTTGCAAAGTAGATCTGCACTGGAGTAAGACATATCTCAGTGCTGCTGCTAGAGAACAGAATTACCACATCTTCAGTCACTCCATGTGCAACCATAAAATGGTTCAAAGCTTAGAACAAAAAATTAAGTGCAATTAATTTACAGAGGCACTACTTAATGTTCTTGCTCACTTGTACTGTCATCTGTTTTCAAAGACCACCTCAGTAACAGTTGGGCTCCTCATATTCCAATCATCTCCATTACCACCAAAGTGACCAAATCAGACCTGTTGCTACTTGATTCACTACTCATTTCCCATTACAGTCTCTATTTTAGAATAAAATTATTTATACTATTTTGAATGGTCAAAATGTCTATCGGTGTAAAAGCCTACTGGGTATTCACTCTCACTAGTGACACAGAAAACTTCCAATACTTCAGAAACCTTAAGTTTAGAGAGAAACTCAGTTTTCTTATAAAATACACATGAATATACACATCAAGTCCAAACAGATAACACTGTAAAGTCACAACATAATACTGCATAACAAGCACCAAAAATACAGGTATATTTTTTGTTAATTCTTTGGAAAGCACCTCATAAGCACTCAGAGCATAGAAATCAGAAACAGTATTTCTAACGTGCTCCACAAACACCATATCACTGAAACTGGTTGTTCTTCCACAATGTCATTGTAATAGTTTGGATTTGTGTTCTTGAGTTGAACCTTGTCCTTGAAATGTACTGAAACAAGCATGTTCCATGAAGCAACCAGCTCCATACCCTGTCAAAGCTGACCAGAAGACACACTTGTTGCCAGGGTGGCCTCACCAGCACATTGTGCACCACTTCCCCTCATATATCCTTTTCTTGCACTTATTTACTCAGACTATATCATGACAATAGCTTATTCTCATTCAAAGCACTCAGGTATCACTCCTTGTCGAGTTGTCCAGTTGAAAATTTTCAAGAAAAAATTCTTTTTATTGGTTGTATACATATGACCCCTATATATTTCTCTATTCAGTGTTACAAAGATAATTCATTTCTTCGTACATTAGTCTATTTCTCCTCTACTGATGCTATTTCAAAACTCCACAGCATCTAAAGATTACTGCCAAGGTCACTAAAAAAATATTGAAGAAGCCTGATTCTATAGTAAACCTTAACAAATCAAATTAGGTTGCAAAACACAGTAAAATATGACATTCAGTTTGTATTAGCAAAATATTCCACACACAGCTATGGTGCATAGCCCTAAGACAGGGATATTGCCCATCAGTAGCTTTTAGTTTGGAGGCACTGACTGGGTTTGCATAGCAAGGTTTGGGGTAGCAGAGGAGCTACAGGGGTGGCTTCTGTGAGAAGCTGTCAGAAGGGGAAGCCCTGTGTCTGATAGAGCCAATGCCAGACAGCTCCAGGACAGACCTCCCACTGACAGAGGCTGAGCCCATCAGTAATGGTGATGACAAATTTAAGAAGGGGAAAAAAACCTGCTCGATTGCAGTTGAAGAGAGGAGTGAGAATATATAAGAGAAACAACTCTGCAGACACCCATGTGAGTGCAGAAGGAGGGAGAGAAGATGCTCCAGGTACCGGAGCAGAGATTCCCCTACACAGCCTGTGGTGAAAAGCATGGTTATCCCCTTGCAGCCCATGGAGGTCCACAATGGAGCAGAGATCCACCTGCAGCCCATGGAGGACCCCATGCCTTCCTGGAAGGACTGCACCCCATGGAAGGGATCCACATTGGAGCAGTCCATGAAGTACTGCAGCCCCTGGGAAGGATTCACCTTGGAGAAGTTCACGGAGGGTTGTCTCCCCCAGGAGGGACCTCACAAGGGAGTAGGAGAAGAGGGTGAGGAGTCCTCTCCCTGAGGAGGAAAGAGAGACAACACCTGATGAACTGACTGTAACCACCACTCCCCACCCCACTGAGGCACTGTTGGGGAGGAGATAGAGAATTTAGGAGAAAAGCTAAGCACAGGAAGAAGGAAGCGGTGCAGGGAAGATGTTTAAGATTCAGTTTTTATTTTCTCATTACCCTACACTGCTTTGACTAGTAATAAATCAAACTAATTTTCCCCAAGTCGAGGTTGTTTTGCCCATGACGGCAATTGGTGAGTGATCTCTCCCTCATCTCAACCAATAAGCCTTTTGCTACATTTTCGCTTTCATGTGCGGTTGAGGTGGCTTTGGTGGGCATCTGGCATCCAGCCAGGGTCAACCCATCACAGGCATGGAAACAAGAAATATAATATAAAAACAAATAGAAGTCAAATGAAAATGCAAGCCAGGAAAGGAAGGGATTATCCAAGTAAAGACTCCTTTATGAGGGCAAGTCAGGAAACCACTCAATTATCCTGAGCCAACAGAGAGCTGCTGTGCTAGTCCAGATGGGGCTCCACAGGAAATACTGAGTCCACATTTTTTACATTCTCACTCTAGACTGAGAAAGGATCTGATTTTCTGGAGGCATTTCAGTAAGACTTTTGGGAAACATTTAAAATGGTGTAGCTCAGGAATGCAAAATTGGAGCCTGGAAACCACCATAATGTCCAGTATATTACACCATGCAGTGCCAGGCTTAATACATTTGATAAATGTAAATAAATACAACAAATTCTGCTTATGTAAGTGTCGCACCCTTCCTTTGAAAGAGTCTATCAGTCTGACTTAGTCCAACCAACTCCACAACAAACCAGAAACTATGATCACAAACCACCACCAAAACAAAAGTTGTAAATACTTTGCTCTGCTCTATTCTTCTTCAAGAGAAAACCTTCTTGCTATTGGTCCTGTCAGGAGAATTCAATCTCTGAACTTCTACTGGCAGAAACACTGTGGATGAGTTTCAAAATTCTGGGTGATCTGAGTGCACAATTCCTGTGTATACATAAAGTTCTTAAGAGCTCTGATAACAATCTAAGAATATATATATTTTTGTAATTGTAAGACATTTTCATTGGTTAAAGCTCTGTGGTTGGCTGGAATACATTAATGCCAATTTGATTTTTACCAACCAAGATTGGCAATGGTGAAAGCTAAGTTCCAGCCTTGATGGGAGTTCAAACATTTATCACCAAAAGTTTGATCATGATAGAGGTTATAATAGGTGAGTGCAGTAACAAAGTCAAGGAATTGATAAACAGAGAAACGTAGCACAGAGTCCTTTTCAGAAGAGATTGATAATCACTCCTCCCTTCTGTCCAAATGAATATTTCATTAAGACACACAACAAAAAACAAAACCAACAAACCAAAAAATGCTCAGTATGAGAGATTTAGAAAACTCCTATCCTATGCATAAGCTTACTTTATTGAGGAAGCAGGAGGCTGTAGGATAGGATAGAAGGTTCAAATTCAGTCAAACAAATTCTGTTATGCAGCATGCAACACGCAAAAAGCTTTTGAAGTATTTACTGTATTAAAAAGCATAGAGATCTTGTTTTAATTTTAAGCATCACATGCTATTTCTCATGGGTTTTATCTTTACAAGAACTGAAGTAGGAAAGATACACTGAGTACAAATTCTTCCTATGTACGAAGTCCTGACATAAGATGCCCTTTTCCTAGAACAATGTCCATTTTATTTGGCACGAAGATAGGATATCTAAACCAACTTTCTTACAGGCATGTGTAAAGTGTGATAATTAGTGCTGTATCCTTCCTTTGACCAG